ACACACACACACACACACACACACACACACACACACACACACACACACACACACACACACACACACACACATAAATACACACACAGACGCATTTACTTCATGGCTATTCAGCTTGTCATGCACATCAGCCAGATCTGCTGCTCTGTAAAATGGCTGTTAGTGAAGCCACATCATGCTCCAGATGAAGTGGTCCGGTGTCCAGTGCAAAAGCTTCAAAAAGCCTCACTTTTAGGAACTACAACTATGTAAAACATAGCACAGAAATAGTTATTTTCTTCTAAATATCAATTACTGTAAAAGCCTAGCACTCTTTGAATGAAAGCTAAAAACACAACCTTTTTTTTTTTCATTGCAAAAGGGACAAATTTATGTTTTACTAAAGCCCTGTAAATAAAATTGCTAAGTTTGACTGAATTGCTGTTCACTCTCTTGGGACAAAATAGTTGTACTTCTCAATAGCCATTCAATCGCTGACAAACATGCAGAGTGAATTTAGAAAGTTAAAAATTCATGTAAAGTGAGAACGTTTGCAGAAAACCTACAGTGATTGGCACGTTAAGGTTTTCTAAGCTCCATCTGACTGTCATCTGGTTAAATTAAGTGGCCAAAAAGGAAGCAAATAGCCCTCCTTACAATATGCTCATATTATTTTATTTTATCATTTATTTATTCACATTGCAAAAACTGTCCATCTAACTTGCAATCTTATATCCAGCCAAAACATATTTTTGATCTTGTTTTGAGACTGATCAAGCGCAATTGGGTTTTTTTTTGTCATATTATTTCACTTAATTAGAGAAGATTCAGTCTCTATAAAATATTTTTATCTTAATTTTAGATCACTCTTTTCTGCAGCGTATTTATTTACTTTTTACAAAAGTTAAAACGGCTTCTCTCAGTCGCTCAATAAGTCTCGGTGTCTAAAAGACTCTTTATTTGCTTCCTGAAATCTTGTCCCTGAGCAACCCTTCTCATCTGGATAGTATACAGAAGAAAACAAATAAATAACTAAATAAAGGAGAGGGGAATTTGCTGATGCTGCTGTGCTGCAACATTGCACAGTGTGCTATCATGTGAAACATCACCTTTCGGACAACTACGCACTTTCAGCCCAGCATTTTATTTCCAGCTCTTTCTCTTTCTGCCTTATTTATTTATTTATTTATTTATTTATTTATTTATTTATTTATTTATTTTACTTTATCTGTCTGCCTTGCTCCCATTGTCTCTTTGCCCTCCTATGAATTTCCATTCACACCCAAACACTTTGTTTGTGTGTGTGTAGTGTTAATGCTCTCCCAGACATTGACACCAGCTGTACTTTTCCAGTTCAGCAGCTCCTGAACTCTCAGGCCAACATATTAGGCTTCACACCAGCTGAGAACACAAATAATAGCAGTGCTGAATAAATAAAAAAATGCAACAAAAATAAACCAAAAACCACAAATCTCAGCAAAAACAAATCCCACAGGCCTCTTTGCAACTCCAGACAGAGGACTTGTTTTAGCAGGCTAGGCTAAACCCATTTGAGTGAATCCTGACTGTGAATAAATAAATAAATAAATAAATAAATAAATAAATAAATAAATAAATAAATAAATAAATAAATAAATAAATAAATAAATAAATAAATAAATAAATAAATAAAACCAAACAAAAGGTATTAGGAGAAAATACAATTATTAAAAAAGAAGAAAAAAAGAAACACTAAATATGCAGTAGCTATTAGATTGGTTGTATGGAGTGAGAAGAGTGAGAGACAGCTGTCAGAGATAATTACACACTCAGCATGTGTCTTTTCAACACAAWGATAACAAATCGCCTGGTTTCACAGGAACACGTCAAAACTCCTTCGCTCTTAAATTTTAGTAATGTACAATCACAACACTGTGCTATTTCACTGTGAGAATGTGGACAATAAATGATATTATGGTAAGACAGGTTAAAAAGAACATTTATATGTGTCGAGGAATAGGATTATTATGWCTACTTGCACAATAAAGACATTTCATTTTGACTGTTTAATCACAAGTTCATGTTCTGACTTCTAACACTGGAAATGTGRAAGCCGTGGTGAAGTTCCTCTTTCTGGGATATCTGCACGTTCTGATCACACTTCCTGAATACTGATTGGCCCATGGGTTTAATTCTGCACTAATCCAAAGCCCCTCAAAGTTTTGCATGCTCCCYGACTCTTGCACCAATGTTTGCAAGAARTTTGTATTTGGTCGATTATTTCTTTGTAACAAAGCTTCTCGACAATAGATCTTATACTGGACACCTGAAGCTCAAAACAAGTGTCAATAGCAACAGTAAAATAAGAATTGGCAAATATTTCATGTGCACAACCCACAAACGCTACTGCTCATCCCAAAAAATGCATGTTCCTTACAAACATGGCACCATTTAAAATGGAATTTAACAGGCTCTCCAGCAACACTTTCTGCCAAGAAGCCAATAAGTTTGTTTATTTTTGTGCTAAGTACCATGTTTACCATGACCGACACCTACAAACTTTTAACTTCACTAAAACTCTACAAGACTTTTTGTGTCTGTTCATAAAAACAAAACCAAGAAAAAGAAAWAGAAAAAGAAATAAATAACTGGTGCTTGTAAAATGGAACATATCAAATGCTATTTTAAACAGAATATCATCTCCCTGACAGCAGTACAAATGATGATAGAAAATTATAAGGTTACTCTTGCACGGCTACAAATTTAAATCAATGGGCAGACAGAAGTCCTCACWGCAACTGAGCTGTGCATTGTACAAAAATCCAATATGAAATCAGCCAGCGGTCCACTCATTTTCCCCTTCCGCTCTGCTTCAGGAGTAAGGACTATTTTTAGAAGGCAGGAGGATAAAGTTAAGAGGATGAAGGCTAAAAAAAGCTTGGCTAGACACAGATTTTACCTGTACGCATAGTAAAAGCTAAGCCTACTAAAAAGGGCTACCCATTTTTTTTTAGAATGTACAATAAGTACAAAAAAATTCTTTTTTTTTTATTTGTCCTTTGCTGATTGTTCCTTAGCAACATGTATTGTCACTTAAGATCATTGTTTTTCAAGCTCAGAGAATAGCATGTGCTAATTAGAACAAGCCTGTGTCAAATGGCTTTTTCTGCCATCGAAGGGGAGTGAACTTTGTAAATTATCACCAGTTTGTTTGGAAGTTAATGATGCTGGAAGTGACAATGTGTCCAACGTTCCAACTTCACTGAACCTAAATAATGATCCATGCTTTATTCTCCAACAGACTGATGTGCATTAGCAAACCAGAGCATGCAGTTCGCTAAATTGAGAGAACGTTTTTTTTTTTTTCTCCTCAACTCTTATTTTTATTTCCACACCTGGCACTTTGAGAGCTCTGTAAAATGGAGCAGCTGTGTACACAGAAATAGTATTAAGGCAGTGGCTGAACCTAAGTCTGCAAAACCTTAACAGAACCAGCTTACAGGTGGCGCAAAGTTTACCTACATAAATGGGGGAAAAATAACTCATGACATGTAATCTGAGCATCACAATAAATTTAAAACTAATTTAAATAAAAATAGGAAGACCAAAGTAATGGTGAGAATGGGGGGAAAATACACACAACTCATGACATGTAATCTGAGCATCACAATAAATTTAAAACTAATTTAAATAAAAATAGGAAGACCAAAGTAATGGTGAGAATGGGGGGAAAATACACACAACTCATGACATGTAATCTGAGCATCACAATAAATTTAAAACTAATTTAAATAAAAATAGGAAGACCAAAGTAATGGTGAGAATGGGGGGAAAATACACACAACTCATGACAT